TCAGCATTTTCATTTCCTAAAATTCCGCAATGAGCTGGTACCCATACCAATACAACTGTTATTCCTTTATTTTTTAGATCCCACCAGATATTGAGTATTTCCCTAATTATGGAGTTTTTAGGATATGGATTGTCAATGGCAGTTAAAACGCTGTATGAGTCCGTCACAATTACCCAGTAGTTCTTTTCAGTTTCACTTATAAGATATAAAGCATTCATGATGGCAGTGGCCTCTCCTGTGAATACTGAACATTCTCCAGGTAATTTAAACAGAAATTGTTTCTCTTTACTTGCTAAAGCACATCCTACGCTACCTCCTTCTTTGGATGCATCCGTATATATAAAATCGAAATTTTTATATTGTTCCGTTAGCTTTTAAAAAGATTTTTGTATTTCAAGCGGATATGCCTTTGCAATTTTAGTCATAGATTTATTAATAAACGGTCTATCTTTTTTCCAACGCGGCATTTTTAATTCTGGGATGGGTCTTATAATGGCCGTATCCATGTTTATTTTAGTTGTTGCATTGTAAATTGCTTGTTTAAATATGTTATTTTCTATATTTCTAAGTCCGTTTCTTTCTGATTCTTCTGAAAATAAATATGGAATTAATGGGTGGTGGGAAGATGCTTTCAATTTGGCAATGTATTTCAGAGATAGGTATTCTCGTCTCAAGTTTAAGATGTTTCTCCAGATTCAACGTAGATGCTGTCGATTGGAGAAGTTCGAAACGCTCCAGTGCATATTCTAAGGGCTGAATTGTGTATAGAATCTAACATCCTCAATATTGTTTTGTTGGTTGTACTATATATCTGCGCTCCACAGTCTATTTTGCTGCGTATTATAGACTGGTATATTTTTATTAGAGTGCATCTATCGGCACCCCAGCTAGAGTGTGAGAGACATTTGAGAATTCCGAGTCTTTTTGTGCATTCTTCCCTCAAATATGTAATATGTTTTATCCAATTGAGTCTCTTATCAACTATCATTCCTAGATACTTGTGACTTTCTGTATACTCAATTGAGGAACCTTCTATAAATATTTGTGGATTATTCTGCTGACACTTTCGACTTCTACAAATGTGTAGACATTTAGAATTCGAAGATGATATCTTAAATCCAGTTTCCCTTGTCCAATCGTTTACTCTATCCATCACTTCTTGCAGCCTCCACTGTATATAGGGAATAGATTTGCTTTTGGCTGTGATAACAATATCATCGGCAAATAGGAAACACTTGGTCGGGGTCTTGATAATGGACCCTATACTATTAATCGCAAAGAAGGAATAGGGTCGAACTAAGAGGAGATCCTTGTGGGGTACCCCTTTGTAAGCGATGGCTTGACGAGAAAGTATTTCCTACCCTTACTGAAAATTCCCTATTGGTTAGAAATTTTTTAATATAATACCACATATTTCCTCCTATTCCTACTTCCTCCAAAATCTTCAACACACGTCCTCTTTCCATTGTGTCATAAGCTTTTTCAAGGTCTAGAAATATTGATATTAAGTGTTCTTTATAATATTTATTATGACTATATTGGCTATTGGGACTTACAGAATCGGACAATGAGCCTCCTATAAACCACGCTCTTCCTCTCGTATCCAATCCTTACAAACCAAAACTCGCAGTAAAATCCTAAACTAACCATCTATAATGACCTTGATGTTCAATATGCTGTCGATTTGCCTCCAACCGGATACAGACAGATTCAAAAGTATCTGTACAGCAGTTATAAAATATATAAAATAAAAATATATTGCTATTATAGTAGGGGGTAATTTAAAATTATATAACCATTTAATACTAACATCAACAATTTTATTAAAAAACATACTATTATTCTAAATTTGTTCGATGTGACATTGAATTGACTTGACATTAAAAATCTTGGGCCGATGTAACTAAAATTTTAGTTTACTAATCAGCAATCAGACCCTTTAAATAAATGAAATTAGAAACATTACGAATTCTTACTTGGTCCTTCAGGCGGTGTCAAAGACGGAGTTAATATCCGTTTATTTTTCCAAGTTGTTTTTGGAGTAATTGTCTTGCAAAAAATATAATATTCCCTTCTCTAAATTTTTTTTCTAATCATTTCGAGATTTCTTTTTAACATGTCGACGTATTTTATCTGATATATTATACCAACTTTAAATTCAAGCGTTTACACTCAAGCAGCATTCATACCATCCCAGACCATATATGGGTTACCCTGTTGTATAATCTTATACTTTTATTTATATATACATATATATAATGTTTATAAGTGAACATTATATTCCTTGTCCCCATTGTAACATTTCTTTTCCAATCCACTTTAAAATTTTCAAAGTAATAGTCTGTGGGCCAGACCCTCATCATTTTTTTCTTTTCCTAGATTTCGGCACTTCCTTTCTCGTTCGCTTAGTGTATTTTTCCAATTTTTGGGTTCAATTCCGCGTTTTCCCTCATTTTCAGACTAAATACTAACAATCAGTTCCGGTTACCTAGAAGAACTTATTAATACTTTTGACCCGGACAGTTTCTGGTTCAACCCAAATCGGAAGCAGATGAAACATCGAGGCAATTATTTATTTAGGCAATTATTAGAGCAGTTTGCTGATGTAGCCAGAAACATCAAGCGGTTTCTTGTTGTTTCAGTCTTGTAAGGTTCCAGGTAAGAATAATTGAACAAAAAACAAAAATATTTATTTAATAAATCTTCATCAGCATGAAGAGTTAAAATGTTTGCGATAGCGAATGACGTATAAAGAATTATAAATATTTTTATTTTTGTTATTATTACATAGAAATAAGATATGATATTAATAATATTAATGATAACACCGTGTGTTGAGGTTGCAACTAGGTAACTACCATGCAGCCTTCTTATATCAACTTTCTTGCAAATTTTCGAAGAAAGTGAGAATTTTGTACAACTATTACTAAATTTTATGCGATTAGAATTTCTGATCTGTTGAATAACTAAATACATGAACTCGCCCAATTATAAAATGGAACTGTTCTTTGTTAATCAATTATTTATTTTGGAACTTTTTTAAGTGTAAGTTAGTATGCTTTGGACCTTTAATAATGGAAACATCCCTGCAATATCAATGTTTGGCCAAATATGAAAGTTACCTATTTGTAAACCTTATGCCACTAGTTATAATACTGAGTCATCTTAAACATTAAATCTCACCCGACTGAATAGTTATTACATTCGTCACGGTTATTACAAATGCTATAGCCATTGTTATCCTCGTCAACCGTATGGAATCAGACCATAAATTTTTATGGAGCTTATTTTTTATTCACATTTAATTTAATCTTTATCAATTCTTTAAGTAGATATTCAACTGCTAGATATTCAAGATTTTTTAGAGATTGAGAATTTTGTATTTTTAATAGCTTTAATTATTCTGGAGAAAAAAAAATCTGTTTATGTGAACTTAAGTTTGAGTGGCCCAAAAAGAAGGAGATAAACAAACAAAAAAAATTAAGGAAATTAATGCTTTTAGGAACATTTCTGATATGTTTTTTCTACGTCTTTTAGTGGTACTATATGTATTATAGTTTACAAAGAAAATATGTTGTGATTGTTTGAGTATTTTGCTTAGATCACTCACACAAATAGCAGATGAAAAAAAAAACCATTTTGGAGGGATAGGAGGGTCCTTCAGTCTGAAAGTCCCTTCCATTATATCCGCTAGTGTGCATCATCACCAATAGTGAAACTAGAGGGAAAAGAAAAGTTTGTCTGAATAAAAAAAAAATAAATGACAATTATTCTTTATAAAAAAAAATGATATTAAAGTATTGTACAGTATATCAGCAATATGTTTTAAAATGGCTAAAATAATGCCAAAACGTTTCAAACTAATAAATATGTCATATAACTTATAGTTTTTATAGTTAAGTTTTATAGTATATGTTTTTATAGTTAATAATTTTTTGTATTGATTTGTATCTATTGGGATTTAAAAGTGGTTCTATTTGTGGATTAATAATTAAATTAAAAAAAATACATATATTAATCTCATTCTATATGGTTCGCGGCACAGACACCTTTTTATCAAATTATTAGCATCCGTCTAAAACTTTGTGAATAACTTAATCTTATCGTAACCTAAACAATTTTTATTTACGAAAATTGTCGGAAAATGGCGCGTTTTCAATCTGAAGATCGGTAAACTTTAATTTATGGGTCGCTAAAAACTTCACGAACATCCAGTTGCTTTAATTTTCATAAATTACATAAAAGCATGAATTTTCTTGCAATTACTTTTTTTTGTTTGTTTGTTTATCTCGTTTTTTCGGGCCACTCAAACTTAAGTTCACATAAGCAGGGTTTTTTTCCAGAGTAATTAAAGCTATTAAAAATACGAAATTGTCAATCTCTAAAAAACCTTAAATGAGTACTTGAGTCGTCAGTTGAGTTGTTTCTACTTCACAAAAACGAGAAAAAAGATGGCCTGCGAAAATATTGGGCTGTTTTCGTGAACTCTATCCCCAACATGTCAAAATAACGGGGTTATGTATGCATCATTAAATCATTTATTGGTACCTCATTAATTTAATGAGAAAACGCCCAATTCCATTTCTAAGAATTTTCATATATAAAAAAGTTGTACGTTACGAAAGGATGAATCCATTCAAGAAGTTATTGACGGATGTAAATGAATTGATATGTGTATGTGTGTGTTTATAGAAAAACGAGTAATCAAATGAAAAGTGAAAATATAAATTTATTACCATTAAAAAAATAAGTTACACAGATCATGAACGTCTGGCGTGTGCGATGTTCCATATATATATTTTACGGGCTATACCTTTTACTGTTTGTACAAGCTAATGAGACGATTTTCAAATTTATGCGAGAAGATAGAGGTGAGATTTAATGTATACGATGATGATGATGATGTATGATGAGGTGGGAGGGGGAGGAGATCGATACGGGCGCGCAGCCCGGATCCTCCACTCGCCGCCTCACCATGTCCGGGCCCGCTGTGTTCCCAGATTACATCTTCACCAGGATGGAGGATCGCCCTAGGAACTCCTGCCACAGATGGATACACGACAACCTCTTCCTCCTCTGCACGCTCTTCGGCGTCATAGCTGGAGTCCTCATCGGTGAGTACCCTTCTCTATCCCATAGATCTTCTTCCACATGTACAATGTCCGATTATGCATGATAGTAATCAAAAATGCATGATGATAGCTTCTAATCATAAATTGTTTTTAAATATTTTCCTCATACATTAGTCGGATATTGTCATAAGGAAGTCATTATTGATTAACATAATTAAATTAACATAGACTCTTTAGCAAATATTGACAGCATTGGTTCAGGTAAATAAACATTTGAAGCATTACACTTGAAGCAATACACAAACGCAAATTAAAAAAATTCTTAACTAAGAATTATCCATTTGTTTTCCACTTGAATTGTAAGATAATTTAATCACAAAACCCAGAAAAAAAGGTTGCCTACAAAAATATTGGTCCGTTTGGCTTTTATGACCTCGTTATTTTGACATGGGATTGGATGTCGCACCATAGGGCCCAATATTTTTCTATACCATATTTTTTTCTCGATTTTGTGATCAAATTATCTTTCGATTATTTTTATTTATTTATTTTTTTATTTACTCCACCCTCCCATTCCATTGCCCAGGCATGAATGCTTAACAACACAATACTGCTTCTTAAGACTCAAGTGGAAAACCAATGTGTGTTCATGAGTCTTTAAGACCTCAGTAAATAGACAAAACTTACCCATCCCCAGATGGAAAACGTCCCGTTTTCGGAAATTTCAAAATAAAAAATTATACTTCTTAACTAAGAATTATCCATTTCTTTTCCACTTTCTCTTCACTCCAGATAATTTGATCACAAAACCGAAAAAAAAGGTTGCATACAAAAATATTGGACCGTTTGGCTTATATGACCTCGTTATTTTGACATGGGATTGGATGTCAAAATAGAGCCCAATATTTTTCTATACCATATTTTTTTCTCAATTTTGTGATCAAATTATCTTTCAATTTTTTATTTACTCCACCCTCCCATGCCATTGCTCAGGCATGAATGTTTAACAACACAATACTGCTTCTTAAGACTCAAGTGGAAAACCAATGGGTGTTCATGAGTCTTTGATACCTCATTAAATAGACAAAACTTATCCATCCCCAGATTGTAAACATCCCATTTCCGGAAATTTTCGTAAATGAAATAGTTGTAGGTTATGGTTAGATGAAGTCTATTACGAAGTTTTAGACGGATGTTAATAATTCGATAAAAAAAAAGGGTCTGTTTTAACTTTAATTCTTTACCAAAAATTAATAACTATCACCATTAGATATAAACAATAAATATAATAAACATCTTACATAAAAGTTGAAATAAAGATCTCCTTAATTTCATATTCTGTCATTAAGTCCTTAATGACCACAACCTTCATACTGAAACTGAATACAAAATTACTCATACGTAATCCTCTTATTTAATAAAGAAAATCCCATTTATTTCACTGTGAAATTATAATATCTGCGTATACAATGATTGTTTTCACCAAAAATTATTTTATAAATTCATACATTATGAAGCTTAATTTACATAATAACCATCATATAAATATTCGGATTAAAGGTACAATGTCAATTCTAATTGTCTTCAAAGTAATAGTTATGTAATATTTAAGGGTGCCCAGAAGGGGGTTTTATGCCACAAGTAGCGCCATCAAAATTAATGAGAGGGGTAATTTTTGACGGGGTTTTCAATTTTTGAGGGGAGCACATTTTGACGGGGTTATGAATTTTCAAAATGAAATGTTTCAAATCAAAAGATAAGTGGAATCATGGAACAGACCACAGGATATATAATGGTATAATATTCATATTCTACTTTCGTTTGCACTGTTTTTAAGAAGAAGAGAGGAATAAAATATCTTGGGAGGGGTGGGAGTAGGTGTATGCGCCACTGGCCTTGGGGGGGGGGATGGGCACTCCTGATGTATACGTAAGTAGTTTTATGTGTAGACATGAATATTATATATTTTAGATGATTTATATTTATTTACCTACTTCATAGTAGTAATGATCTAACTGTTAATCAAATCGCATATTTAATTTAACAAAACCTCATCGTATTAACGTTCAATGCATTGGTAAGTATTTTTGAGAACCTTTTTTTAATTTTGGTATACCAGGCTCAACTCTCTGCCTTAACAAAAACTCTACAATGATTTACATCTTGTTGTATTTATGGTCCTCCAGTTATAAATGGACAAGAAACAAGTATTGACTAAAACTGTTTTCTTTTGGTCATGAAGTTGTATATAGTTCGAGGTAGCTTAAAACATGTGCAGAGAGGTGATCGAGTCAAAATCACGCTCAACCTTTCTTCTATTTAAGTAGGAGTACCCACTTTTTACAGGCTGCCTGAACCTGAGGAGGGTCTCCGTTCCCCAGGGCCGATTCGCGGTTGATGAAAAATTATCTGTCATTAGCCGACTGAATTAGCCGGATTCGAACCTGATACCTTCAGCTTTGGAACTAACCCCCGTGTACCTTAATCGGGAAACGCACTGTGTCAGTAGCCTTCCAATGGATATTCTGCTTCAGAAATGATTATTGTTCCTCAGCGCCTGTTGACTGTGAGCCATAATCCACGGATCTAGACCGATTTGTCACTCCCGTAGCATGAGTGAGTCGGTGGAGAGGGCAAAGAAGAGCACATCGCGCGGCCAAAGATCTTCATGGCCCATAGTGCCAACCGAAAAAAAAATATATATAGATATAATTTATTTAAATAAAAAAATAATGTTTTAATATTAAATAGCGAAAACTAAAAAAAAAGAGACTTTATTAATATTTTGTTGGTCTTCATTGCAAAATTGAGTTCTCCATTATATTGAAAATGTTCAGGAATTTTCATTTATCTTCAGTGAGTTTGATTTCCTATTTTTAATAAACTCAGTTTTGACATAGACAAGACAGTCTAGTTATTTTAAAATCTCATGTTACAATATTATTCTAATTAAATGATGACGAAGTTGAATAATAACTGATAATACCATGGTAGCAAAACATAGAGAAAATATAATGTAAAGTACTTTGTTTTTTCCAATTAAGAAATATTTTTGGGGGATTTCGAATTCTCTTTTTCACTTCTTTTTACGATGATTTCGATTTATTATATTTTATTTTTTGTTATACGTTACATTTTCCAACTAAGATATTTTATATCTTGTAAGGTAAACAGCTGTTAATGAGTAATGGCTCTGAGTAACTTATCCTATCTCATTATCACATTCTTTCTCTCTATCTTTTTTTTTTTTCATAAAAGAAAATTAGTTCTACTCTATTGCCCTAACAAGCGATAAAGCTATATTATATCAGTAAGAGTACATTTATCTAATGTGAAACAATAACAATGTTCTATAACGGGTAGAGATTTGATCATGCGCAGTAATGGTTATTTGAATTTTACCCATTTCAAAACAGTGTAATTCCTTTAGATAGTGTAATATCCACAGCAAATATTTCACTATCAGACTTGTTCCATTGGATGATAAACTATCAAAATACCACTGCTTCAAATATCATAGCGTAACTTAAATTCTTAACTATACTAACACCAAATAATCTAACATTAACTAAAAGTTAATATGACCAAGGAAGAATCAAGCCGTTGAGCCGAAGAAAAATAATGGAAATATTAGCAAAGATGAAACAAATTGAATATCGTAAATATAGGAATCTTGCTTACAAGGACGTTAAGGGAAAAACAAAAGAATATTAGAATTAGAAGAAGCTCTACTGGATGTGGAATGGGTTTTTGGACTCTCAGATATAACAAGAAATAGTGAAAGTATCGTGGAAACGGAAAACGGAAACATTTTTGTTAAATATCGCAGCTATCAAGAGCAACACTGTACAAGATTTCTGACTTAAAAAACACACCATACTTGACTTAATTCAATCTCACATAAATTGCATAATTAACTTTAAAAATGGGAAACATGCACATTATTTTTTTAAAAGTGAATACATCTACCTCAATAGGCACAGAAGAAGAGTTAGATCAATCATGATCTACCAAATTGGCGTTTGGAGAACGAACATATTAACAACTATATAATGATTTTTGTTGACTTCAACGCTCAAAAGTAGAAGTAAAAGAAACATGAGGTATGGACGCAGTCGGAAGATATGATAAAGACAAAAGAAAAGTTCCACATTCATAAGAAATAGACCTTGAATGAACCTGGCGATGAAATTCATGAAATTGATTTAACATAAGCTATTAAAAAAATATCAATATGTTCACCCAAAGAAAATAATTAAATTTAATGTGATGGATTATATATTATTATTTTGCTTTCTGCGCATACCGAGAAGAAAATTCAATATATAAGAAAAAATCTAGCTGACAAAAAAACAAAACAAAAGAAGTAGTGTTTAAATTAACTATTTAATACTCATTGTAAATAATAAATATTAAATACGATTTTAATAAACTACTCTTTAAACATGGCAAAGAAACCGGTAGAACTTAGCTTTGACAGTCAATTTACCGTTTAAAGCATATATAAAAAACTGTTTCAAAGTATTAAAAAAACTTCTAATATTAAAGTAAAAGAGAAAAGAGTAAACTAGGAGTAAAATCAAAGAAATAGAAAATTTAAAAGCGAAACAAGCGGAGTTAATTTTAAAGAGAGGAACTAAATCACACCCCAAATAAAACAACTGAAAAAAGAACCCCACCTGCAGATCAAAGAAAATTTGATCTGTAGATCAAGGCATACCTAAACACAAAGAATATTAACTAATGGTTTCTTAAATCAGGGACAATAAAAAAAAATTAAAACAAACAAATGACAAAAAATTGACAACTCTACATGGCACAATAACCAGCATGTAGAAAATAAATACTAAAAAAATTCTTTACAAACAGGATAAAACAGAAAATCTGGAAAATATTTAAAGAAAAAGTGAAACCGACAACTCAAATTAAACATTCTGAAAGCACAATAGAAAAGAAAAGAAAACAGTGGAGGGAAAATGCGGCTTAAAGTAATATCATTTCAAACGAACTCCTCATGAAAGCAATAGAGGTAATCATTATGT